ATAGCAGCAAGGTACCGGAATGTGATACCTTATATAACTACCACTGGACTTTATGTTGCAACGGAACAAATTTCCGAGTCTGGGAAAAACTTAGTGACATCTACACCTTTTCGTGTAGTAATAACATTACTAAACAATATCAGAATATATCCACTCCGATCGCATACATCAATATTATTTGTATCAATTTAAAGAATGGCTAAATATTGACCTATCACATCTTAACCACCATACTCGTTCTTTGACCAGATCCCCTTCCAGAGATAAAGTGTTGATGATTATGTGAAGCGATAAAAAATCTATTTTTTACCCATTTTATCCCATATATAATATTTCAAATAACTTTTCTGACTTTTTATGGGGGCCATATGGACTCATATTAATAATTTTCATCTTAAAGTCCATTTTAGGTTCTGAAAACCATGATTTGTATGGTTTTCTAGGAATGTTTTCAACACATACTACGTTATATATTATATTATGTTTAAGGGCAGTTCGTACTGATCAACAAATTGTCATAGCAGTAAAAATACCCATTTAAGAGTTCAACGGTATTTATGAGACGGTTATCGTTGGATATAACCTACACGCCGGAAACTATCAAGAAAGTTATTTTATTTTTAAAAGGAATCGGAAAGCCGGCTTGCCTTTCGCAAAACCTCATATTAACTGAAATTCGACTCAGTGGAGAAATATTAAGTACTCGGAAGAATTAAAGTTAAATATTAAAAGGCTCTGACAAGGAAAATATGGCAGTGAAAGGATCAAATGATTAAAGGCTCAAACCTCAGTATTACAAGGGTACTTGGAAGCAATACCATGGTCAAAAATGGTATTGGGTTGTTTATACCCTACAACTATTTTGTCATGGTACCTTTGTTATACCCTACACAGCTATGTTGTCAGGGTATTATAGCTTTTTGAGCCCCCAAAGTTTCTAACGCCGCGAAATATTGGTCCTAGACACACCTTTAAGTATATCGATCGTCTTTTCTCGACTAACTGAATCGATCAAGACATGTGCGTTCGTCCGTCTATCCATTATAATTTGTAAACACAATACAGGCCAAAGTTATGGACCAAACATTTTTGGTAGAGAGAGACCCCTGCTTAAACTCTCCAAAATTTAGAAGAAACCGTTATATGGGGACAATTTTTTGTAGGATGATTCGTTACCCATGTATAACCAAAACGATCAAATTAGAGCCAATTTTGGACAATAATTAGATCAGTGAAACACGTTTTGTAGAGCTAGCGTCACTGATTACAAACATGAAGTCAGATTTTTGAACAACTTGACTCATACCAGAAAATTTAAACTGTTCCAAATCAATTTAAATGAATGATTTATTATCAGATAACTCATAGAATACGTTTTGACATGAAAACTTAAAAACTAAAGTTATAGAGAAAGAAATGTCTGTCTGGCTGACAAATGCATGATGGAGCTACTGATTTAATCCATACTTTGCACTTGATAATATTTACTCAAGGCCAAAATCAAGCTCGAATATGAAGAATTCAGACCACTCTTTCTGGCACTTCCTCTGCAAATGGACAACATGAAAATTAATTATACCCTTCAACACACTGTGGTACAGGGTATTATGTCTTTTTGCATATGTTTGTAACAGGCAAAAGGAATGGAGATTGACCCATGGTTCCTTTTGAGAATAAGCATAGAATCACTTTCTGAGTCGATTTACGCATGTCCGTCCGTCCATGTATTTTTGTTAACAAAGTACAGGTCGCATTTGTGATCCGATTTGGATGAAATTTGGCACAGTTCACTTATTTGGCCCAAGGACGAACCCTATTGGGAAAAATCGGTCCATATTTAGATATAGCTCCCATATATATTTTCGTCCGATTTAATGTAAATGGTGTAACAAAGTCCCTATATATCTTTCGATTTGAACGAAATTTGGTACAGCGTATTGAATTCGGTGTAGAATGATGAGTGTTAAGTTTCATGAAAATCGGTTCAGATTTAGATATAGCTCCCACATATATTTTCGTCCGATTTTAGGTAAATGGTGCACTAAAGTCCATATATATCCTTCGATTTGCACGAAATTTGGTACACCGCACTGAACTAGGTGTAGAATGATGTGTATTAAGTTTCCTGAAAATCGGTCTAAATTTATATATAGCTCCCATATATATTTTCGTTCGATTTAATGTAAATGGTGCACCAATTTGCACGAAATTTCGCACAGCATAATGAATTAGGCCTAGAATTATGTGTGTTAAGTTTCCTGAAAATCGATTCAGATTTAGATATAGCTCCCACATATATTTTCGTCCGGTTTTATGTAAATGGTGTACCAAAGTCCTATAAATCTTTCGATTTGCACGAAATTTGGCACAGCGCAATTAATGATGTGTGAATGTGAATGATGTGTGTTAAGTTTCGTGAAAATCGGTTCAGATTTAGATATAGTTTCTATATCTGACCAAATGAGAAATTTAGTATCGGTTGCAGAATGACATTTTTATGGATCCAATTTCATTTTACTGGTCCTTTAAAAATGCGACGCCTGTTAGGATTCATATGTTGAATATACCCAAAGTGGTGAAGGGTATCATATAGTCGGCCCCGTCCGACTTTATTGCTTTCCTTACTGGTTTTGTAATATCTTACGAACGGAATACATGTAGTATCTCCCCCTATAAAGGAGGAACATTTGTGAACATTTTTAAATATTATACGAAGCTTTTTGTTTATCCGATTTGACCCAACCTTCGCACAAAAGTAATATTTTGATCAAATCTAGATCATTTCCGCAAATTCAACCTATCGGTCGACTCCTTTTGGTAATTTCCCAAAGGGTAAATCAAGATAGATTCCGGACATGGGGATCTACTCCCTTAGGTACATCCTTCACAAATTATCAACATCTGGTCTTTTTCTCAGTTTTTTTTTTTTTCTTTATACTTGCATAGCCAACGTACTACTAGAATGTTGCAAAGACCAGATACTTCAAAAGTTAACCACATTACTTTATATCATTTTTTGAGTCAAATTGGCTCACAATCGTAAAACTGGGTACACAACATTCAATAGTCCGAAATGGAGAGGTTTGTCTGATTAAAAAAAATCATTATTTAGTTTTAATATAGGATGGAATCGTTGGTATACTTTATATTACAGGCATAAAATATAATATCAAATTGTACTGGTCTAAAACTAAAATTTTCCCAGATTTGAAATATATGAGTTTTTGAACAAAAAAAAAATTGATTTTAGGATTTCTTTTTAATAAACAAATTTTCCAGACATTTATATAGGCCAAAGTTGTCCAATCTGAGTAGGGGAGACTGGGGCAGCTTCGTCACTTTTTGAATTTATATAACACATTTTAATTTTTCGCTATATGTTCATAATCTCAAGTTTTTGGGTTATATGCTAAATTCATTTGCTTTATTAAATATTTATTAGGTTGACTATTGGATTAACCAATAAGAGAAACTAAGGCGTTGAAACTCCAAAGAGATTTCTTTAATTTTAAAGAAAAACACACGTCTCTTTAAGAGCGACTTGAAACGTTAAGCCGCTCTTATAGCTTCGTGCTCTTTATATTCCAATCGTTCCCCATGTGAAATTGGAACACCAAACTTAAGAGCTTATAAACACAAATAAAGAGCTTTTTATAGCAAAATACTTAAATATTTACTCTTCCACACTTCCAATTTGGCAGCTGTTTTTATAGCACGTTCTCTATGTCGGGATACCTGCATAAAGAAAGAGCACAGTATTCATATTCAAGATCACCCACAAATAGAATAGAGAATTATCGTAGCACGAGACAATTTTTGTGTTGTTTGGTTGTCAGCAGCTGCTGTTGTTGTTTGGTATCCACCAAAAATAGCTGTGAAAAGAGTCAAATGGTTTATTTTTAAGAAAACTAAAATAAATCTCAATAACAAAAGAGACACAACTCCACCCATATAACGAAGAAGCAAATATGGTCTATAGAAAAGAGAGAGTACAATAAGAAAAGATCAATTTATTGAATGAATGGCTAAAAATATACCGATCCAGGTGTTAAGAAATGAGCACGAGATATAGGGGAAATTGTTGGTTTTCTTAAGAGAAATTTTGAAAATCTCTGTTGCATAGCTGGGGGAGAGACCCAGTCAGATGATCATTAGGTGTGTAATGATTATGAGCTTGTTGTTGGAGTATCGATCTCGATCCTCATGATGACGATGGTGATGCACACATGCTTGTCGAAATGTGTTGCTCTGTCTCTCTCTCTCTCTGTGTGTAAAGGCACGTGCTACCAGCTCAACCATTGAATGCTGCAGCAGCTTGCCACCACCACCACCGCCGAGAACATCTGGTGCTTTTTATTTTGGTGTGTGCGCGCCTGCGCAGCCTAAATGCCACCGAGATCATATTTAGCGAGTGTGTTTGTGTGTGCAAAATCTGTTGGAACAATTAAGGTGGTTGAAGTGATGAAGATCGTCAAAACGTTTGTGGAGGTTCCAGGGCGAGTGTGTGTGAGAGTGTTTGTTGGGTTTTTGACGGGCAATAACAAAGGATGCGTTGAAAAATCGGAAGTACAAACCAGGCCTTTGGCTATGTGTGTGTGTGTGCAAGCGTTGTTGTTTGTCACACATTTTACCCCAGCCGTCTGGTACCGAAAAAGGGGAGGTTGAGGGTTGAAAAATCCTTCTTATAACAGTTTTCAATTAGGGTTTGTTTTTAGAAATGATCCTTGAATCTGTCTCTCTGTTCGTGCTAGTATAAATATCAAAGTGATCGTGAGGAATTACATCATTCGTGCAACGAACATCAAACGAAGAACATTGAAAGTGAAATTTCAAGAAATTAAAAAAATATATATATTTAATTAATAATTAAAAATAAAAATTTAAAAAAAATATTTATAATACAGACTCTATGTAGAGCAAGAGAGAAAAAAAGTGAGAGTGCAACTGTGAAAAATTTAACACCTAACTCACCTTTATTGGATTATTCAAGCTTATTTTTTCAACACACATTTGCCATTATGGATAAACTTAACTACAGCAAATGTCCTTTGAAAAAGCGACCCATCATGATGGTGAAAAAGGAATATATGGATACCACAGATATTGGACTTGATCATGGTAAGTTTTTTAGAAAGAAAAAGAATTATTAAAATAAAAGCCTTCCAAACAAACCCTTTGAACAATGGAACTAAAATACATTTTCCATTCCTCCTTCATTTTCAGATGAAGGTCCTGTGGATTTGAGCAAAGCCTCCAGTACGCTCCCCACCACATTCATACCCAAATATGAACAGGATGATGTGGTGCCCGTCTCGCCCTTGGATTTACAAGCCAAATTCAATGCCCAAAGCAAAGAAGATTTGGCCCGACGCATTTGGGAAGAGACACGTGAAATTGCTCGTGCCTTTCCCGATGTTTTCACCAAAGAGGAAATTGCTCGCAGCTTGGCCCGTTTGGGTTATGGTGAATTCCCCTTTCCTCAAACCAATAACGAGACCGAGGAAATATCTAAAACACCCTCACCACCACCACAACCAGCCATGCCAACACCAGACAGTTTTTATGGTGCCACAATTAAACAGGAACCTCAGGAAAATTCCTATGCCATAATCAATGACTCTCCAGCCGCACAACCCTTGAATGGCCTAAGGAATTTCAATAATAACTTAATGAAAAGTATTGCCGAATATGAGGATTGTTTAAGGCCACAAAATTTCTCAAGAGAAACCTCACCAAAACCCCTGCAAGACAGTGAACCATATGCTGCCACAGCCTATGAACCCGAAGATTTATCGTACAGGCCACAAATACAGCCAGCCAAGAAGGTGTTGGGAGAAAATGTGAATTTACACAATGTGGCCCGCGCCTTACTGGGTCTACAGAATTTCAAGCCAGAAGTCAATCCACTTACACAAAACTCCAATAACATCATGAACAACAACAGCACCACCAACACCGGTGAGATTTTGAAACCCCTTGCCAATGGTAATCTCAATTTGAAATTGAAAACCTCCAATGATTTGTATTATCAATGCCAGCAGTGCAACAAATGTTATGCCACCTATGCCGGCTTGGTGAAACATCAACAAAGTCATGCCTTTGAAAGCACGGAATATAAAATCATACGCAGCAATCCAGAGGGTGGTTCCATTACTCATGATTCTACGGAATTTACGACAGATCAAGCTGCTGCCCTCATACAAGCCTCCGCCCTGGCCTCATCACAGTCGATGCAAAAACCCGTGGGTGTACCCCGCTATCATTGCAATGATTGTGGCAAATCCTATTCCACCTTTTCGGGCCTGACAAAACATCAACAATTCCATTGCCCTGCTGCTGAGGGCAATCAAGTGAAAAAGGTTTTCAATTGCAAGAACTGTGATAAAACCTATGTGTCCTTGGGTGCTCTGAAAATGCACATTCGCACTCACACCTTACCTTGCAAATGTCCGATATGTGGCAAAGCCTTCTCCCGTCCATGGCTGTTGCAGGGACACATACGCACCCATACGGGAGAGAAACCCTTTAGCTGCCAACATTGCAACCGTGCCTTTGCCGATCGTTCAAATCTACGCGCCCATATGCAAACTCATTCCGATGTTAAGAAATATTCCTGTCCAACCTGCACGAAATCCTTCTCACGTATGTCCTTGTTGGGTAAACATTTACAAAATGGTTGTCAATCATCATCGCCACCTCATAGTGGTAATGAGTCCTCGGCATCGCTATCTCCCACTCACACTCCATCGACAGAGACTGTTATTGCTGGTGGGTTCAATCAACAGCAATTGCAACAACATTTACAAGAATTACAACAGCAGCAACAACAACACAATTTCTTGCAACAACATGGTAATCATTCTCCCATCTATGATGAAAATATGAATCCTGCCAACAACCAGCAGTCTGGTGAACAACAGCCGCAGCAGCGTATTTATTATGCCGGCAGTGTTGATAGCAGTGATCAGGACACCGAAGAAGATTATCAAATGCAGGAAAATGTCCATCCGCTAATACATCAAATGAGTGATTATTAGGTATGATAATTAATATTTTTAAATGTTTTCAGTTATTGTTTTAAGTTGTAAATAATGCCAATAGCTGGCTTGCCTACTAGTTTGATATCTCAGGAATAATTCACAGATTTCTTTTTTTCCCAAAAGGGAACTTAGAAAGAAATCTTGTTTGAAGTTACATTACATTTTGTATAAAATTTATTTAATTTTTATTTTAGTAAATTTTCCATTTATTTGCTTTACATGCAAATAATAAGGAGAGCAAGACATTATTCTTATAATTTTAAAAATAATTTAACTTTATTTATTTAAAAATAATTTTCAATAATTAATTCATTTATTTTTTGTAAAAAAAATTGAAATTTTGTTTTGAGAAATATTCGCTAACTTGGCACCTTTCGCTTATCTCGAATTCGCTTGGACAGAATATGTGAAAATATTCTAGATTTGCGAATTTTAATACTGAAATGTCAGTAGCATAGCCACAAACCATTCAAATTGGCAGCTAATTGGAATTTTACATCAAAGCTCCTCTCAATTCCTTCTCAATTAAATTAAAAAAAAATTTAACAAAACCTTAAATAGTTTACCACAACCTCAAAATTATTACGAATGATACGAAATTTCTCTTGATCTATTTCTCTTCTACTATTTTTCTCTATTTTCAAACATCATTTCCAAATTGTTAGGCTAGGTTTACCAAAGATCCAAAATTCAATCCCAGTTCAGAATTACCAAAGATCCTTTTTAATTTTAAATTGTTTTACAGGGACCCCAATCATTATTCTAGTTCAGGACACAAAAGATAGTTTAATTCAAAAAAATCAGTTTTAGTTCAGGATTACCAAAGATAAGTTTAGTTCAAAAATTTCGCAGAAAACCAAAGTATTAGCTTAGCTTCATTCCAGTTAGGGAAACTAGAAAGTTTCGAAAAAAATACAAATTATTAGTCATATTCAAAATTAGCTTGAGGAATAAAACTATAGATTAGTTCAGAAATATATTATGAAAAATAGTTTATTTCCAAAATTAAATTTTAATTCAGAATCAACTTAGCTTCAAAATCATGTCGTTCTGCTGATTTCAAATCAAAACTTCAAACGCCATCTAGGACAGCCTATCGTTTAGCTTATCTTCAAACCCAGTTTTCTTGCATTCAGCGTTACCAAGCGCCATATATGGCAGTGTAATGTTTAGCTTGACTTCAAACTCACTGTTTTTTATTCAGTGTTACCAAATGCTATTTTTTGAGTTGCCAATTTAATTTTAAGGCACCAAAAATTGTTCAATATCACAAAAAAAATCAGTTCAAAATATTTTAAGAGATTATAATTAGGAAATTAAATTTCTTAAAATTATTTTTTCAGAATTTCCAAAAATATTCAAATTATTTTGCAGAAATCATTTCACTTTTAGTTTAGAAGTACTAAAAAATATATTTGTTGAGCAAGTATTTAGCAGATCAGAAACTTTTAGATTTCCATGGCATTCTAATTAGTTAAACCCAAAATTTCAAGCGCCATCTAGGACTGTCAAACATTTAGCTTGGCTTCAAACCCATTGTCTTTTATTCAGCGTTACCAAATGTTTTTTTTTTTTTTTTTGAGTTGCCAATTTAATTACATTATAATTTCAGACATCCCAAATTGCCGCCAAAAATATTTCATTTTATTTGGATATTAAATTTCTTGAATTTATTTTTTCGGTATTTCCAAAAACATGTTTTATTCAAAATTATTTTGTAGAAACCTTCTTCTCATTTCAGTTAGAGAAACCAAAGATTAGTTTAAAATAATTTCATTCTAGTTAGGGAAACCAAAGATTAGCTTAGCTTCAATTACACACATTTCAAAAATTTACCAAATATTAATTTTATTCAAAATTATTTTGAAGGAAAAATTAAAATAATTTAATTCTAGTTAGGGAAACCAAAGATTTAGCAAAGCTCACTGCTCGTTCTAGTTAGGGAATTTTATTCTTGTTAGGAAAACCAAAGAGTTGGCACAGCTTCTGCTCATTCTAGTTAGCAAATATCATTCTAGTTAGGGAAACCAAAGATATAGCATAGCTTCGAACCCAGTATTTCATTTTAGACATTGTTAATAATCAGAAAAATCTACCCAGTATCAATTCATTCTAGTTAGGGAAACCAAAGATGTAGCAAAGCTCAATGCTCCTTCTAGTTAGGGAATCTTGTTTTAGTTTAGGGAAACCAAAGATTTAGCTTAGCTTCAGATCCAGTATTTTCGTAGACCAGAAAATTATCAAAAATTTTTCTTAATCAAAATTATTTTAAAGGAAATTAAAATTATTTCATTATAGTTAGGTAAACCAAAGTTTAGCAAAGCTTCAACAACATTCTAGTTAGGGAAACCAAAGATTTAGCTTAGCTTCCGATCCAGTATTTTCATAGACGACAAAACAATTTAAAATTTCAAAAAAAAAAAAAAAAAAATATTCCAAATTATATTGAAGAAAATTCAAATTATTTCATTCTAGTTAGGGAAACCAAAGTTTAGCAAAGCTTCAAATTTCATTCTAGTTAGAGAAACCAAAGACTTAGCTTAGCCTTGAACCCAGTATTTCATTTTAGACATTATTGCCAATCAGAAAAAGGAATCTAGTATCAATCCAATTTAATTAGGGAAACCCAATATGTAGCAAAGCTCAATGCTCCATCTAGTTAGGGAATACTCATTCTAGTTAGGGAATCTCATTTTAGTTAGGGAAACCAAAGATTTAGCTTAGCTTTTAACCCAGTATTTTAATTCATAACCATAGTTAGGGAAACCAAAAATATCTTAGGTTCAAATATCATTTGAGTTAGAGAAATCAAAGTTATTTTTTATGAAATTCCAAATTAAAAAAATATATACTTCGAAAACATTTAGATTTTAAATGTTTAAAATCCAAATTAATATTGATTTGATTATTAATATTCTATATTTTTTCAAAAAGGAATTGTGAGAGAATTTATGAAAGCTACTTAATAAATATTATGCAAAATTGACTACATATTTTTGTGGAGGATATTTAAAATATTTCCTAGAGAAAAGTTAAAGGTGAACTAAGTAAGCAAATAATTTCTCAAAACATATGAAAAAAATATATTTTGTAAATTCCCTATTTTACGACATATTTAATTTATATTTTTCTATACTTGTATTATTGTAAATATTTATTTAAATCCCATTATTAAAAGCAAATAGTATTTCCTTAATTTTAATTATCTTAATTTCAATCAATTTACACTTAATTAAAAGACAACTTTAGTCATACATTAGTCACCATAAGAATAATACTAGTAATAAGTTTTATTTTACAACAACAACAAAAATACAATTATTCTTATGGCCATATGAAAACAACAACAACAAATGTCCAGTGTCTGTCTAACGTTTGTCTAGTCAAAATACACACCTATAATTTTATTTTATTTCAATATTTATTTATTTTTTTCCTCTATTCTAATGCATCCTTCACTCATGTCACCAACCATATTCATATGTATATACATATCTATATCTATATTTTTTCTAACATTCAATGTAATATAAGTTTTCATAGCTCTAGTCCATTAAAAAAATACAAAGCAAAACAACAACCAAACACACCAACAAATACTATTTTTATTATTATTACTACTATTATTGTTATATTTGTTATTTATTATATATTTATTACATTATTATCAATCAATATTTGTTTACTTATTTATTTATTGCCATAATTTTTGTAAACTTGTTATGCCAACAACATACTCAATGATATATTGTATGTATGTATGCGCTCATGTTTGTTAATAGATTTTTGTTTTAATATTATTGCAAAAAAAAATCGATTTTACGACTTATATTCTTGTTTATTTTTGTTGATTACTTTACATTGTCTGTCTAAGTTTAAGTCTGTCTAAGCCATTATAAATATCTGAAGCCAATCGGTCAAATTGCCAGACATTAATATTCTACTGTCTGTCTGTTGCATTTTTGTTCCGTTTTGTCCCGTGTGTATATCTCCTAATATGTGCCATTTATTTAAGTGTCTTTATGAATACGAATACATATATATTTAAAGTAAATTATGTAAATATTTTAAGGAAATATTTATTTAAAATAAGTAAAATAATAATCTAAATAAATAAGCATTTTTTCTAAAAAGAATTTTCTGAGTTTTTATTTTGATTTTTTTTTTTTTTTGATTTCTTTGGGTGGTTTTGGTAAATAAAAACAAGTAAAAAAGCATTAAGTCTGGCAGGACCGAAATTTGAATATCCTCCACCATAGAAATACTGACAATTTTTTGAAACGAAAACATAGGCGAACATACATATAACGACAATTCTTCCAATCGATTGTTGTAAACCAAATAGGAAATTCAGCAATTTCAATGGGGGTTTTCCTTAAATCTCAAAACCCTAAAATGTTGACATATTATATTATTAACGCATGGTACGGTGAAACATGTGTATAAAATCCTGAAAATACTCCAATTTAGAGGTCAATATTATATATGAGGCATACTAAATCGGGACCAATATTGACAACATTGTGTAGGAATTAGCAACCAAGCTAATATTTTAGTTTTGAATCCCAATACCGTCCATCACGCTAAATAATAAATAGGTTGGATGTTTTATATAGGACCTGGTCCTAAATGTGGGTCGGTACAGTTCATTTTCTAACCTCACGTTTTAGTTTTTATGTCGATATCCTCCGAGAGAAAAATTATTACAACATATGGATAAATCGACTAAATTGTTTTAGAATTCCATACTATGTGGGGTATGAACTGAAAATTTCGTCTACCGAATATTCCCCCTACTATGTGGGAATGCCAACTTTGGTGCACTATTTACCTAAAATCGGACGAACCGATTTTCAGTAAATTTAACACACATCGTTCTAGGGTTAATTCAGTACGCTGTGCCAAATTTCGTGCAAATCGAAGGATATATAGGGACTTTAGTGCACCATTTATATAAAATCGGACAAAAATATATATGGGAGCTATATCTAAATCTGA